GTTTTTAAGATGGTAATTTATTCATATCTGGTGCCCCCATCTTATGCTATTTGCTCGTTGGTCCCGTTGCCGTGTATTTTTTTTCGACGTGCCCCTTTTTACTTCTTTTCGTTTCTTTCCATTATTATTTTCTTCTTCTTATTTTCCTTCATCTTAGTTTTTTTTTGGTTAATTGTAGGCGGTTATGTCGGAAGGTAACACATCTCTATCGCATCCATTAGAAACACTCTACATTGTTCTATTTTCTCCAACCTTGATGTGCGTCCGTTATTACAGTTCAACATTTTTACACTTCTACAGATCTGTATCAGACAATCATATTACTTTTGTAAGGCAATTGATAAAAAAGATTAAAATATGCTAGAACTTCTTGTTAAAATTTTTATATCAAATATATAAAAAAATGTCATTGATTTTCTTATGATGTAACATATTGACGTATATTTGACAATTAATAACAATCATTGTCAGAGATGTACCAATTTTAAATAGTTACACATTTTTAGTTTGCGCAGAGAAATAGTGAAATACAATAACATTATATATTATACTGAAAAATAAATGAATTAAGAATAATAAAATGCTCTAATGTATTTTGGCTACTTTTATTTTCTCGTATTAGTTGGCTTAGTCGTCAAAGCGGTATAATGAAAAGAACAAAAAAAAAAATCTCAAAAATCAACTCCATAAAAACAAAAATATGTATTTAGGTATTTGATAAATTAAATATAGAAAAAATCTAATATTTCAAGGGTAATTGAGTTAGTGATTAAGGGTCAAGTTAGGAAAAATTTAGAAGCAGGTAGAATTGTTCATCTCTAACCTATAACCCTAACTTTTGACAAAAGTCTTATCATCTCTCTCTCTCTCTCTCTGATAAACAAGTAGTCTTCCATTGACGTTTCATCTGTGCATTATTTTCACTACATTACGTAATGATAGGTAGTAGCGACGCTGAGAGGGGAAAAGGTCAGGATGCTTTTAGAGAATGAATGACGCGTTGTCGTCCCAATTGGCCACGATTCATTTCGCCCTGTGTAACAGATTCGTACACAAACAGGGCAACCGTATTATTATCGCATTAAAGGCACAAGGGCGTCGCAAACGGTAGCCGAATGCTCTTTGCCAGGTACCATCCACAATGGACTTAATCCTTCTTCCGCATCGACTAACATATCCAGAGGAAATACATGAAAAACAGCGTTTCATTTCTTTCTGGCTTTGCAAAAAAAACTGTCACGGAACAATTTGCACACCTTTCATCACAGCCAAACACCCAATCTCTGCACGGTAAAACATTTATTTTGGTTTATCCGACCGCATTAAACCATTGTCGAGCAAAATAAAAAAGGTTTTACAGTTCCATGGAAACATACCCATAGATTCTAAACCACTCCACGTAATATTACTGCTCTTAAAATACGTAATGTTACGTAAATTTCCTTATATTAAAAAAAACAAAGATTCATTAAATCCGTCTCCAATTACCATTACTATTCAAAAATTCGTAATGTTACATCTTAAATTTAAAAAAACTGATTTCTTATATCAGTCTACTCGCATAGAAAAATAGCAGTTTATCTCTCCTTAAGCATACCTATCTATATAATCAGAATTCAAATACACCGCCAAATTTGTATTTGCCGACCTTGCCGAATTAAGTTTCCCGACTTTCCTCGTGATTATTTCGCATCGCGTTGTCTGTGCCCATGAACAGAAAAATTCATTGTGCAACCTTGGCAATCGAAAGAACATGTATGTGAAAAAAACGGTCAAATTGACTATCAGTGGCGTAAAGTCAATATTGAATATTCGAAAAAAGTTTCATCGTTAGATTAAAGTTGATAAAACCCATGAGAAAAAAATCGTTTTTTTTTCCTGACTATTGAGTACGTGACAGCTCCATTGTCGCATTTTGACAGGTGAGTGACAAGTTTCTTCAAACTTTGCAGATGGATGATTATTTTTATTTAATATACACATTATTTACCTTAGAGCTAAAATAATATAGTAATAACTACTTCATCATATAATTATAATTTTTATTGTTCCATCTATTTGTAAAATTTACGTATATTCTTTGATAATGAACAGAACTTGTAAAGACAGACGAATTAATATTTAGTACAGTTTTAATTAATGCGTTAATAATTTAAAATTGAAGTTAAAGAGGGAAACAACAATTCTCTAATATTTTGTTCAGCTCTATCAATGGCAATATCAAATAGAGACTAATGAAAATTTGCATGCGTCGTTCGTGCATTATGCAAAGCGGCTTTTTAATAATTCTGTGCTGTATGCCAATAACAAAATATTTAAATCAGTGTAGCTGAGACAATATACGAAGTGTGCTAGTAATTTGTCTTCTCTAATGATTATTTTATTTTTGCGAAAAAAGCAATCGTTTATTTTAACATATTTACAAAATAAAACGGATTGAAATGTTGTTACTTATTACTATTAGTAAGAAACTGTTTGGCATTAGCAATTTACTTTGAACGGTAGGTAGATGTGAAACCTTATGATAGGAAAGGGTGAAGAATATCGGAACACAATGAAAGGCATACCAATTCGGAAAATGGTTCTTGGATCGTAAAACGCTTTCCATTTGAGAGAGTTCCGCACTTCCGTATATAATTGTTATATGAGGTCATAAACAGATCCGTAACCCTTTCAAGAAATAAAAAAATTATCATTTTACTGGGTAGGTACTTACTTGGATTCCGCTCATTCAGGTTTAAACACAGGTTAGGTTTTACCACTTGCTGGTGTTTAAAATTCTTACACAACTTTGCGATACCAAGAAGGAGAGGTACTATGACGCAAATGACAATTATTTCAACAAAGCTTTTTTTGTATCTAAAACTATAAACACGATCTGTTTTCCAAATTCATAATAATCATAAAGAAAGAGAATAACAAATTTATAATGATTAAAAAAAATATATTTATTCATATTAATATTTCAAAAAATACATCAATCTATTGAAAAAAAACCTAATTGATTATTTTTGGATTGACTTATTTTGATATATTACAATACGTCCGTACGTTTCACTATTGTAGTGTAAGTTCATTGATTATTTCTTCGTAGAATGAATTCTTGGAAATCACTAACTCTATGTACCAACGATAAGATTAAAAGTTCGATAACAGTTTAACATGCGACGCGGTGAAAAAAAAATATAACATTAAGGTTATCTCGCCTTGAAATTAGTCACCAATTATTTCCGATGGGGCCTAAGTCAATTTAAGCCAAATGTTGAATTGTAATTAGTACAAATGCAGCACATTTCAATCCAGTTTTTATCAATTTGATTGAACAGATATTTGTGACATTTTCAATTAACTGAATAATTTAGTAGTTACACTTATACAATACATATATATTCACGTGTGTATTCGTTTGCTCTAATACTAAATAAATAATGCATTGATTTTCAGATCAAATTATTAACCCTTTTCAGACCAATTTTTTTTTTAAATTTTGTTTTCTGTTTTTTTCATAATTTAACATTTCCTATTGTTAAAAATACATCAAGTTTCAATTCACATTAGTTGTTTCCAACAGTTTTAATCGTCGAAAGACAAAATTGAATTTAAAATTTAATGATACCATTTGGAATCACTGGGCTGGAAAGGGTTAATTTTCATTCAAATAAATACAGTGGAACGCTTAACGAGCAAAATGAATTGTGGATTTCGCGAGGATTTCGTGCTACATCATTTTTAAAACTTGTGTACACATATTATGTATATTTTTGAATATGTTTGACTATACGAGTATTTCCCTATACGAGTAAAAATCTGGAAATTTTTGAACGGATTAAACTCGTTAAGCGAAATACCACTGTATCTTTATTGTTACAATTATACAATTACATAAATAATGACCATAGTTCTTCCATTCCAAAAATATTACATTGATCTATCTTTACTCTGTATTAATATTGTATATGAACAAGCTATTATTACTTTTTTTGTAAAAAGTTAATATTATAGTTTTTTATCGAATTGTTTCAAATATTAAATTTTTATCCGTAAATTTAATTTAATTATTCGTGAAGAAACATTTCGTGAAATAATTTCTAAACATTTCTAATTTTGGTTTTTGGCAAAATAATTTAAAATTTATAGTTTTTTTACACTTTTGACTGTCAGTGCAAATTTCTGTGAATAAACAAACTTTATTTTATAGAATAATCTTAAAGTTACAAAAAGTAGAGACATATCCTATATTTTTTTTAACATAAAAGTTTTCAAAACAAAACTAACTAAACAATATGTTTTTCCAGGTAAACCAACTTTTTCAAAATCTTTCAGAAATCAATATTTTATATAGAAATAAACATGTTGGCAAAAGACTAAATTATATTGATTGTTTGTACAAACATGTAAAATAAAGTAAATTTGATTCAGTTTACACATTTCACTTTTTTATTGCAAAATGTCTGTGAATAGTCATATTTGTTTATCTAAATTTAACTAACTTTTTCAAAATCTCGATCGATAGCACATATTGTGGCCAATAAAAATGTTAAAATATCTGATTTTAGTTGGTAATGCAGTAACTACGTAACGGATAAATTAAAATCAACAACTGAAAAAAATAGTTGTTGATTTTAATTTTGACGAATAGTGAGTTAATAATTATTATTTACGGAGGTGTTTGTTGTTAGTTGTGAGATGAGGTGTAGAAGGAATTTGGCTGTGTGCAGGAACGATGTAGCAGATTTGGGAAGAAAGGTGAAAATCCGGTAGCTGGTCGTGTAAGGGGGGTTTTACAAGGTTAAATTTACATCCTTTTACAAAGAAGGAAAGCAAATTTTGACACCGTCCCAGAGGGGGGATCCAGTTTTATCGATTACCTGCCGACCATTTTGTGTGCGAGCGGCGCGCCGTCCGACCAATCGCGCCTCCAGGACGAAACAGAAAGTGGGCGGCGCCGTCGGCGCGTCGGTGTCCAACGTGGGGCCCGGGTACAAAATATCGGTGACTACTACGAGTTTAGCCGAGTTGCGATCCATGGTATCAGTCAATCCTTAACTCTCGAGGGTGCCGGTCGTGTGACATGTCCTGAACGCTCTGCACTCCGGCCCTTTTTTTATACTTATCGGGACTGTACCTACGCCGCCCCATATAACAAGGACTATATATAAGTAGTGCTTCGTACCTAGACGTCATCTCCGTCGATCGTCAACAGCTGAGGTGCTCGCGATACCGAGGCATCATCCTGTGTTGTTCCAACCACCGTTTAGGTGCTAAAACATTGTTTGTGAGGAGTTTTAATCGTCGCTGTTCGTATGGTGATGTCAGAGCAAGGTGGGTTGGCCATGCACCAACTACCAATGCACCATCGCGGCCTGGTGCAGCCAAGTTTGGTTATGAACCCTCATCCACTAAATGACTCCTGTTCTATGGACTCGCACAACAGTAAGTCTTCACATTTTCATTTTAAATTAAGAAGGAAAAAAGCAATAAACAACAAAAGATTTCCAAACTACAAAATACTCATATAGATATCAAAAAATCCTTAAGTTTCTAAATTAATCCACATCCACCGAATGGTTCATATTCTATAAAAGTCATCAGATTTTATTTTAAGAAACTGATACATTATTAAACCGCATAACATAATAACAATTGTTATGAAAAATATAACTAAAACAGTTTAATGTTAATGAAAATATGGAAATACTGAACTTTAAATTCAATTCTCAAAAACTTTTCTTTTACAAAATTCTCTAAGAAATTAATTCCAATGATCATCCAAATCTAACATAAAATTTCGGAAGTTAAATATTTTTAGGTGTATTTTTTTAACTAAGCTAAGAAAAAGGTTAATAAACAATTGCAATAATTATTGATTCTAAATTTAAAGTAATTTATAATATTCTAAATAATTTCTACATTATGATTGTTTACATATTTAACTTTGGAAATTAACTTTATTTTAAATTAAAAGATGGAAATTCCCAGCTGAATACTAGTAATTTATATGCTAAAATGAAATCGTAAATTATTTTTAAATTGACATTGACTTCATTGATATGCATTATTATCGATGAAATATTAATATATTGCCTGGATATCTTTAAATGCACACTCAATATAAACGATATTCGATTTGGTTTACAGTTCATAAATTACGTTCAACTTTAGTATTGGATACATGTACGTTTGTTGTTTTTAAATATGAATAAAAGTGATATCGTTATTCCGACACATGAAAACGATAGTACTTCATTATTTCTTATATAATTAGAGCAAAAAAAAAACCTAGCAAAATTGTTAGCGTAGCAAAATATATTATTAATTAAGCATAAATATTTTAATTTATATTATCAAAAATATGTTCAATCTAATCATTTAATTATTAATAATAATTTAAATATAATTTTAAACTTGAAATATTTGAATTATTTCTTCATTATCGAAAATTTATTACTTTTGGTTCATTTCCGTCGGAATACATTTATTTCAAGCAGTCACTTTTTGCAATTTATTTGTTTTATAATCTAACTTTATATTTTTAATTTCCATTCAATAATGAAATATTTTTAACTATTTGTCTAATTTACACTTAAAAACATAGGTTGTGCTATTTGATAATAGTATTAGAAACATGAATGAAAGATTATCTCTTGCATTTCAAATTAAATTACAAATATGGCTCAAATTCAAGCGATAGCATGGATAAAATATTCAACATCTACGATAAAAGCGGTTTACACGAAGCCATTTCGATCCAACGTGTAATAAAATACAAATATTTGAAATAATGGTAAATGGAAAACTGTGATTAAAGTTCACATAAATGTTGATACAAATCATCAACTATACTTGTGAAAAACTCGTTATATTATTTTTGAATAATAAAATATCATATTTATTTACAATCATCAAATTTCTAATACTTAAAATACTTATAAAATTTGAATGATAATATAATAATAGTAAAAATAATATGTTGTTTTTGTATCTATAATACGTTACTAGAATTGTCACTAGACTCCAATATATGTTGGAATAATAGAAAAAAGACTTTAAACGACACAGCGAGTTTTCCATTATTGTTTTATTCACCAAATATTGTAGGAAAGTGAATTGAAAATACTTTGAAAAAATAATGTTTTTTTTATTAGTTCAAGTGGCTCGAAAATATTTATACAAGGAATGATTAAAAACAAATAGTAAACTAAAACGAGACTTCACGAGAGAACGAGCGAGAGAAAAATAGGCAGACGAAATATTTTATTTATTTATTGATTATCGATGAGCCACTAATCTCAGATTCAAGTGATTAGCAATTATAATCACTCGGTATGTACATGCTTCTCTGTTAGAGACGTGGATTATAAAATATTCCCAAGGAAATAACGATCAATAGACTTAATGTACATTTTATTTATTTATTTTATTTATTTTTATATATTGAAATAATAAGACATTGGTTATTATAAATGATAAATTACGATAAACGTTTCGGTAGTAAATTATCGTTGATGTGGGAAATTGGTATTTAGTATTTATCCAACGATCATTTAAATTCAAATTATTGATAACCGGTTTTCTCAAATTGCCTTTTTAGGAGTTTGGGTTATAGGCAATTCCAATTACTATTAAAAGTATGATTTTTATAACACTTGTATTCAATAAATTATTAAAAGTAATTGAAAACCTTAACTTTAATGAATTAACTTAATTTTTATCCAATCTAATTTCGAATAGCTCTAATTAAAAATCAATTTTCAAATTGTATCACCTATAAAAACTTGTATAAGGAATTCCATTTACAATCTAAATATAAAAATCTCGTTTTTTTTTTATTAAGAATTTTAAAATTTAATTAAATACTTACAAATTAAAAATCTTCAATTAAAATTAACAAATGCAAACACATTAAACGTAATTTAAAATGCACAAACATAATTCACTGCTACTCGTATTAATCCAAAACGCGTATCTTCTTGTGCTGAATTGATTCAAAATCGACTAACAGAATCGTTTGAGTAGGCTGTACATATGCACACTGATAGAAAACATTACATTGGTGCCAACGCTGTTGGAATTGGTTAGATTTCATATACTGCACAAAAAAATTGCATAAAAAAGGACCGCACAAAAACAGGTTCTACTGTATAAAGTATAAATTTATTACTGTTTTATTTTCAAATAATCACTAAAACGAAGAAAAGAATATGGATAAAATTATTTCTGGCAAAAAGTCTTTGGTTCTATTCCTTTATTCCAATACAAATTTGGAAATAAATAAATAATTTCTTTGTATTTTTTTGTATTTACATTAATAACATTCTATTTTTTTTTTCAACAAGAATATGTTTACCATAATGATAAATATAATAATTTATTTTCAATTATTTATAATCTCAATTTGGTCTTGAAATTGCAAAGATATTTGTTATATATTTTGTAGAAGAAAATCGTAATAAAGAAGAGTAGGAACAAGATTATTGTTTACTTGAGGCATCCACTATATTGATTAACGACGAACAGTGTTTGTTCTGAAATAAGTACAATTTAATTGTTCAAGTTATCGATTGAAAATACCGGATTTCGTTTTTTCTTCATCTCCTTAAGTACATCGACATTTCCAATCTAACGATTATCGCTTTTGGTTGTGTTTGTGTCGGATCAATTAAAATAAAACAAAATTAAAAAAAAGAACGAAGAAAACAAGAAGGCGAGAACCAAAGAAAAAAGGAGAATGAAGAAAGAACCGAAGAGAGACAAATTCTTCGGCTTCGATACCGAAAATGAAAGAGTGAAAGAAATGCGCGTCGGCAATCACGGATAAATGTAATGGGTTAACAAGAAGAAGTCCAAAAGTGACCAAGGGAAAAGGAATAAGAAGAAACAGATGAAGGTAAAAAAGAAATCGTTTGAAAAATGAAGTCCAATCAAATGAGAGGTGTGTGATATTTGCCGCCGGTATTTCTCTATTGGGAAAGAGAGATGTTCGCGTTTTATACTTATTTATTTATATCTCTCGTCATTCTTTCGAGTTTATTTTCACGTCTCAACTAATGATCTGTACAGCTAGCCCAAGTACAAGAGCTTGAGGACCCGTTCCACCGTCTTCTTCTTCATCCTCGTCGCCGTCGTACTCGCTCGAAGCAAACGGCTCAATAATTCCATCAATTTTACGACCTTTAATTGATACAATCCCGGTTCGAATTAACATTTTCGTCCGCCGTTTTTCCTCCATTTCAATCAATTATTAGAGCTGACCGAATTTGCTCTTTTATGCATCACCTCAAAGATAAATCCGTATCATTTGTTGCCTATAAATTATTTAACTAAAACCAACAAAAAATATTTATTTATAAAGACACAGAAGATCAGGTGAGAAAAATTAAACTCAATTTCCATTCAAATTTATGCGGCTCGCTCAGTGACAACAATTATTTTGGAAATTAATTAAATTTAATACCCGGTTAATACGAAAATTACGTTCGAGAAGAGAGATGGGTACTTACAACCTCTCGATAACTTCCCATCCGCTACTTCTAATTTTAAATTGAAATCGAAGCGCATTTGCATTGGAAATGTCAATAATCATCGGTTGGACTCTGAAAGCTTCCGACTATTACAGTTTATTTCCCTTCTCGTTTTAATTAAATCGATTAAGATTTTCTATATATTTTATTTTTTCCAAATGGAAATTCAAATCGAGATTCTGCGTCATTGTTTATTTGCGTTTCCTTTTATCTCCGGATGGAATTCGCCTTTATCATTAATATACATATTTATTTATAGCAAATAAATAAACAAAAATAAGCCTGATAAAAAACTGTCGCCTTTCATCGTTATTTGAAAGTCGCCGCTTTGACATGTTTTTCTGTAGTTTATTTATTAATGAAATTACTTTATAATCAGGTATTCATATAACAATAATAACATGATAATGCGTATTGCACACCTAAATCTAACAAATAAATATGCAAAAGTTTGATATGGTCGATCATCTCGGCAATCTTTGTTAAATATCATACATTATTTAACAAATTTTGATAGTATCAATACTTTAGATTAATAAAGATACGTATCTAAAATAACTACTATTTCTTCAAAGTCAGGGTTTCCCAAACTATTTTCCGCGGATAGTTGATGGCATTTTTTCTAATCTGTTACATATAATTATTTAGATTATTTCATATAATAATTACTACAACCAATAATAAAATTTAATTAAAATAACAAAAAAGATAAATTTTACCGTTCTCACCTAGTTATCTAAAACTTCTTTTACATTAAATAGTCATTTTCTCATTTTCTTTAATTCTGACAGTTTTCATTATTTAACTTACACATAATTAACACCTGGTGAATAGTATAACTTGTTTTACGAAATTGCGCATTCGTATCAATTGAGTATGCACAATAATAAATAAAACAAGATACTTGATTGG